AGAGTCAATTAGAATAAGCTCAGACTACTCAGCAGAAACCATGCAGGCTAGAAGGCAATGGGATGACATATTTTAAAGCCTTGAATGAAAGTAACTGTCAGCCAAGAGTTATATATCCAGCAAAACTGTCTTCAAATATGATGGCGAAATTAGGGTATTTCCAGATAAACAGAAGTTCAGAGAATTTGCAAAAACGAAACCAAAATTACAAGAAATACTAAAGGGAGTCCTATGGTTAGATAATCAATAACACCAGCTAACAACGCAAGACTAGAACGCAGGATAGAGCAACCAGATATTGACTCAGATACAGAAATCAAAATTACATCAAAGCTAAAACATTGAAAATAGGGAAACAGATATCAGTATGTTAAAAAAAAAAAAAAACAGGTAATATTAAAATAAAAACAGAAAGACTTAAAAAATGGAGACATTGATTTTCTATATGGAGGGGAAGTTAAGGCGATATAAAGTAATAAAAGACTGCTACAAACTTAGAAAATTAGGGGTAAATATTAAGGTAACCACAAAGGAATCTAACAATCCTACAAATCAAAATGAAAAAGTAGAAAAACATAAAGACCCAGCAAACACAAAACCTACAACAAAGAAAAAGATGAAAAAAAAAAGAAAAATGAATCAGCACAGAAAATTGTGGAGAACAAAGAAACTGTGAACAACACACAAAAAGAGATATCAGGATGACAGCACTAAACTCATACCTATCAATAATTACACTGAATGTAAACTGACTTAATGCACCAATAAAGAGATGGAGAGTGGCAGATTGGATAAAAAAGCATGATCCGTCTCTATGCTGCCTACAAGAGATGCACCTTAGACTTAAAGACACAAACAGGCTAAAACTCACAGAACGGAAAAAAAAATATCAACAAACAACACTCAAAAAGAGCAGGAGTGGCAATATTGATCTCTGACAAAACAGACTTTAAAGTACCATCCACCACAAAAGATAAGGAAGGGCACTATAGAATGATTAAAGGGTCAATACACCAGGAGAACATAACTATAATAAATATTTACACACCCAACAACAGGCTCCAAAATACATAAAACAAACTCTAACAGCTCTGAAAAGACAGATAGACAGCTCCACAATAGCAGTAGGAGACTTCAACACGCCACTTTCTGTGAAGGACAGAACATCCAGAAAGAATCTCAACAAAGACACAAAAGAGCTAAATGCTACAATCAACCAACTTGATCTCATAGACATATACCAAACTCTGCACCCAACAGCAGCCAAGTATACTTTCTTTTCCAGTGCACATGGAACATTTTCCAGAATAGACCACATATTAGGCCATAAAGCAAGCCTCAACAAAATCCAAAACACCAAAATACTACAA